ATTTACATCTACATGTCAATCCCATATTTCATGTTGGTATGAGATCTCGGAACTATTGTTCCTGTTTGTGATAAAAACCGTACAAAGAAGGTCCTTTTAACATAACGCAGCTTGGGGTGCAATAGTCTGCACAACTACGTATCACAGAAAAAATGGCAACAAAGTTCAAGCGCTAATCTTACCTATTTATTGGCCCTGCGTAGCTCCTTCCCTTATCTTTAGTGAAGAAGCAACTTCTTGGTAACTCTGAAAATGGAAACAGGATATGTATGTCGTTCAGTGAAATTAGCATGCTCCCTCCCTGCACATACGCACGTGAACACAAACACACGAACACAAACACACACACACACACACACACACACACACACACACAGACGTACGCACACAAACAAACACACGGCATAGCATACCTCACATAAGAACACCAGCACCAATTTCTGTGACCTACTAGCTTCACATATTACACCGGTGTGTCCTGAACAGTTCCCCTCCATGACCTCCATGAAAAGGGAGGTATTGTTTTTGGCGCGTCTGTGTGTGTGTGTGTGTGTGTGTGTGTGTGTTTCCGAACATTTGTAGTCAGCATAACTTCAGAACACCTTTATGGATTGTTATGATATTTGGTATGCTGGTAGGTCTTAGGAAGCCAAAGGTCAAGGTCAAATATGGGCCTCCTGGTGGCTGACCTTGGTACTGCAGCAAAACTTCCGGCAGGCAGGGAAAACAGACGTGCAGGTAAAACAGATGTGCGGCTGAGGCAACAAAACACCAGCTGACGCGGTTTGATTAATGAGGTTCTCCCTCTGGAATAGGCTACATGTACAGTTGACCCCTGAGTTGACCAGATCTACAATTACAGCCTGACCTATTTCAGGCCAAAGGTGCTACGGTATTAGCAGAAAAGCTGTGTGTTTGAAAACAAAAACCTGTGTTATTTTGTTCTGTACTGTAGTATACTGTGTAAAAACATTTACAAATTATTTAAAACTCATATATTTCATGGAGGTATGAGATCCCCGAATTTTTGTTTCTGTTGTGGTCGGGGATCCCGGTTCCAGGGAAGTAATCAGCACACATAGAATGATTCAAACGCATTCCCCATACGACGCTTTCAAAAACTCGAATCCCGGATTAGGAAGAATTGGTGTTGTTTTGTTCAGGGACACCATATTTTGGCACATTTCGCATTGCATGAAATGTGTGTTTTCTTAGGCATCGGGCAATTCGGAATATACCGTGTAGTATTCTCTATGATCTTACCGTCACAGGCGAAGACACCGTCGCAGTACATCCACCTGAATGTTGGGTTGTTAGTGTAGCACCACGGCCTGTCCTTCCCGTCCGGGTTCCTACAGTAGTTCCGCTCCAGCCCTGCTGACGGGTAGGCCTCGGGAGTGTGGTTATGGGCGTGGGGGTACTGAGATGTCCAGTACTGACAGGAGTGGTCTCGGTTTGCACTGCCCCTGTAGTTTGCCCCTTTGTCGTGTAGGTACTAACAGTCTGTGGACATAAAGCCTTACGTTGTACCATAGTGTACCGCATTGTCAAACAGTCTGTGGACATAAAGCCTTACGTTGTACCATAGTGTACCGCATTGTCAAACAGTCTGTGGACATAAAGCCTTACGTTGTACCATAGTGTACCGCATTGTCAAACAGTCTGTGGATATAAAGCCTTACGTTGTACCATAGTGTACCGCATTGTCAAACAGTCTGTGGACATAAAGCCTTACGTTGTACCATAGTGTACCGCATTGTCAAACAGTCTGTGGACATAAAGCCTTACGTTGTACCATAGTGTACCGCATTGTCAAACGTCCTATAATGATAACTGTGTGAAAAACTCACCACAGTTCTTCTCATCACTGTTGTCTCCACAATCATCTCTGCCGTCACATCGACCAAACGGATGGAACTGTTTGCCATTGTCACAGGCAGAAAGGGCTGCGGGTTGTAAAATCAGTTATAAAATTGTCTATCCAACTGCAAGATTTTGTGTGCCATTGGGGGTACACATAATACACATGACGCGCGCCGCGCACTGCATGTTAAGTTTTGCCAATGGAAGTAAATGCCAGTAAAATCGGGTAATGTTTACTTTGTAAAATCTACCGGACTTTACTATCGTTGTAGATAAAAGTCAAGTCCAGTACTGTCTGGTAGTAAACGAAATTATCGGACATTACTGGTATCTAATACCATTGGTAAATCCAACTTTTTGTGCAGTGGTGGCAACTCAGTTAACAGACACAATAGTTAGGCAAAGCTGTAGAAAATACCATATACACAAGCGGAAATATACTCACGACATAATAGCTCGTCACTACCATCCGCACAGTCCCTTCTGCCGTTACAGACAGGGTCTATGGAGTCGGGGTCCTGTGGATTTCGATAAAAGCATTGTCCATTGCTGCAGGCTATCCCGTCGTTTTTCTCACCTGTGTTGAACATTGAGACATCACGTTTTAACATCCAACTACAAGATCCCACTGAGCCGTATTGAGAGACACAGTCCTTTTCCACAGTCTAAAACCATGCATTTGTAACTGTTGTCGTAAAAAAACTCATGTACTATGGACTTTCGAAAATTATTACCTTCCCATAGGATTTGTATTTCAAGTAGTCCTGCTCCTTGTTTTAATAAACATTTATACCATTCTCGGATATTATGAGTAACCGTAAATATTTTAATGCTGAATGACCACATGGCACATGAAAGTGCATGTAAGTTTAGGCAGGCCACGCACAACCTACATACACCAACTGTGTGAGGATACTGTACACTGGAAGACCTGCCCAGTGTTATAGAGGAAAAGGGCTATGAACAGCCGTAAGACTCTAAGGCAAGGTGATGATAATTTGTGTTCTTTGCATCCCCATCCCTAGGGAGATTGTGATAAAACGTTGCTCTTAACGTTTCTACTTACAGCACAAACGTTCTTCGTCTGTCCTGTCTCCACAGTCGTCTCTACCATCACATACTTGGGACTGGTCAATGATGATTCCATTGGCACAAATCCCTTCGTTGCGTCAAAGATTGGGGTGAAAAATAATTGAAATGGGGTTAGAGTTTAAATGCATCACTATGCACCGTGATGATGTTTTCAGTTTCAAAGTCCACACTTTGTTCCAGGTTCTGTCTTTGGAACCTGCGTTATGACAAATTCCCTTGTCTACACTCTGTCTTCAAGGTTTGTCTTTGGACCTTGCGTTACGTCAAATTGCTATTGACCAGTGTTTTCCTTGAAGTTACATGCAGCCAATTGCAATGTACCTTCCTAATGAATGATTTCGTGCTATGCACACGTTGATGGGATTGTTAGTAATAACTGTTTATGGAGAACTCACCACAGTTCTTCTCATCGCTGTTGTCTCCACAGTTATCCCTGCCGTCACATCGAGTAGCCGAGTGAAAAAGGCCGCCATTGTCACAGGCTAAGGGGTACAAAACCAAGTCAGTTATAATAATTAGAAACTTGTTCTATCTAACTGCACGATTTTCTTTGCCAATGGGAACTGGGGTACACATAATGAGGTATCTCGGTTCTCAGACACAATGAAACTCTAACTACGCTGAAGGCAGACTCTATGAAGCTAGGGATTTCATGGCCTAAAGTAATCCCTTATCTTAGGTACCTTTTGATATGAAGTATACAAATAAGGTACGTAATGGTAGAAAGTGACACAAAAAAGAAGGCATAGACTCTACTCACGGCAAGATTGCTCGTCACTGCCATCCGCACAGTTACGTTCACGGTCACAAACCTCGGACCGATGGATGCATTGTCCACTGGTGCAGCTTATCATACCTTGTTTCTCACCTGCGTTGGACATTGAGAAATTGTTGCTACATCACGTTTTTACATTTTCTACCTTAACGTGAAGGAGACAGACCGATGTAAGCTTTATACATACAGCATTTAGTTAAAGTCATCAAATTTTGAAAGTGCCTGTAACATGTATTTGTTTAAAGTCATGGCACAAAATAAGGAATAGCATTTACATTATTGTATAGTTATAGTGGTACCCAGGGCACTACAGGTCGGGTTAAAAAAAATTAATTGTAATTGAAAGGTGGTAAGGTGATTTCAAAGGTTCTTGTTTCGAATCCCAAGCAAGTCATTGAAATATCATGATAAAACGTTGCCTTCCGCGTTTCTACTTACAGCAGTGTTGTTCGTCCGTGTTGTCCCCACAGTCGTTTCTACCGTCACATACTTGGGCCTTGTCAATGATGGTTCCATTGGCACAAATCCCTTAGGTTGATTGAAGTAAAGAAAATGTTTGTTTTTTCGAAACATTCTTTATTCATCCTGTAGTACATTTTGATTTGTCTTTGAATATTGTTTACCTGGATATCTAACCCTCATTAACCTTTCTAAATCTAGTTTGATGATGATGATGATGTTCGTCCATCGTTGTCATAAATCTAGTTTGCGATAAAGTTAACAGTCGTCACGTTAAGAAATTATATACAATTAAAATTAAAACGTTAAAAAATAGATATATTCTCTACACATGTCCTTATTACGTACCAGTGTTCCTGTAGTCGACACAGGCCAGACAGTCACAGTGGGCCGCAGTGTTGCCGCACCAGTTTCCCGAGGAGCAGCATGGGAAATTACTGCCAGGGTCGCATTCAGCATTGTAATAGGCTGGTCCGCAACGCAAATCTTTACGCCACTTCCTAGGAGCTATTAGGTCATTAAGACATTAAACGATTCGCTTTGTCAGTCACCAGTCATATGTATACAGGAATATTTGTAGTTTAGGTACTCATTGTCCAAACACCAGGTCCTATGTCCCACTCAACAATCAAGACCATAGCATGTACTAATGAAAACAAAGCCGCTAGATTACTCATAGTTGACCTTGACCTTTGTTGTCCCAACCTTAACCTACCTGCCAAATATCATAAAGATACCCTAAGTTATAACAGTTTAAAAAATCACCAAGCCCTATATATGGGGTACCTAACACACATAACCGGTGTAATGGTTAAGTGGGTAGATACTCGCCTTGCATTCGGTAGGTTGTAAGTTCGATCCCCGGCTACAACGTGACCACAGAATTAGAAAAGGTACTGCTTTCTTTGCTTAGCACTCAGCACTTTGGAATCTGTATGAGAATTAAACCCCCACCACTACCAGTGGACAAGCCCTGTAGTGATTGCACTACTGTGTGGCCCAAAGGCCACTGAACCGGAGATGGGCGCCGCCCTTTGCACCGCCTGGTGGGGAAGGACTTAAACTTTTTTTTAACTTAACACACTTAACCTCGACGAAGGTGATAAATAGCTTGCAGGCCTCACCACAGACTGGCACTTCGCACCGCTCCCATCGCACTAACGGATTCGTGGTGAAGCACCAAACTCCGGGTTCACCATCCGGATTCCGGCAGTAGTTCTCCTCCAGTCCGGATGACGGGTAGTTATGCGGTGTCTTGTCGTGTGTATGTGGAAACTGCCTGTCCCAGCGTTGACACGTCTTGCCTGTCCTGGTCACAGAGACGGTTCCTCGGTAGGATGCCCCATCCCCCTCCTGGCATGGTTCTGGTAGATGAAAATGTAACTGAACTGTACTTTCCAACAGAAATATTGGACAAATACTTATTTTTACTGAATGAGCAATTCACAGACTGAATGTAACGCCTATTCTAATGACCTACCAAATTCACAGATGAAACCAGCGTCTATCTTACAGCCCACGTCGTTCCACTTATTTCTGTTGTTGAAGGAGAGGTCGCCCGAGTTGTCGGGAAAGTACACCGCACATCTCTCCTTTCCCCCGCTCGGTTGTCCATCGGCCCAGTTTTCCCATTCCATCGGCTGGGAATCGCGTGCGTATGTCCACGTTCCGTCATCAGAACGGGTCATCCCGAAGTAGAACAACTTCGTCGTGTCCGCGGCGTTCTTTAAAGCGACCAGGAAGTCGTTGGTGGCACTGTCACCGGGCATGGCCAGAGTGCTCCCTTCTTCTCGGCAGGTCGCCAAAGCCTGGTCGTACTCACTCTCGGTGTCGTAGGCACGGTAACATCGGCGTGTGTGTGGGAGGTGCCAGTAGCCATTAGAACACTCTCCAACTGTGGTTAAAATGCGAGGATATAAACTCTTTCGGGGTAGGGGTGAAAATACTTTGCCTAGTAATGAATACATGCCTTTATTGCACAATTTAGTCACACTGGGCTAGACTTAGGTAAAGAAAAACATGTTCAAAATTAAAAAATACAAGAAGATATATATGAATTACACATTCCGTGTTTTTATTATCTTGACACACCAATAACCATGTTCAGTACCTGTAATAACCTGTACCTCGCATAGCGTCAGGATACGGGAGAGACCGGCCAGACGAACCCCCACATACCGTCCTGCCATCCACCGACACGGGATGGAAACGGACGGCTTCGTCACGTCGATTTGATGATCACCTCCGCACATGGGGTTCTCGCTGACCTGGTCGGAATCCCCGATGTGGATGTTGAAGGGGTTTAGTCGTTCCTGACAGCAGTCCATGCGGTTAAAGATGACTAATCTGTAATTGATTGCAATTAAGTTTAATACACTTCAAGAGGAAAGACTGTCTTTGACTCACTGGCCTAAAAAACTTTGATTCGAAATGAAAGTGCTGTTTGCCACATAAATCAACATCACCAATCTGTTGAAAACAGGTAAATGGGTTGTCATTGCATTAGTTTTCGAGTTGTTTATTCCCATACTGTATATATTTAATTCATATTGCGGCTTTAATTGTCGCTTTAATTTATGGCCTGAAATACATTTTATCTTGCATATTCCTTTAAAAAAGCCAAATGCACCATCCACATTTGTGTTGTTTTTCAGTTCATCAATTTAAACATCTATATCGGTATAGCCCGTATAACCGCCCTTCGGCGTCACACACCAGCTTTGCAGGCACGTGACGCGGCGGCAGCTGGCTATATTACACCGAGCGACTTGTTACACTCAATCTTTTGCACATTTAATTACAGGAGTTGTTTAAAGTTTTCTAGTGATGACATAAGGGATGAAAACATTAACGTTGTTTTTTTGCTAAATACACTCATCTCGTGTACATACGTACCTGTCAATAATATACGATCGGCCGAGGTCCACCCACCAGCTAGGATCAGCCTCCTGCTGTGTATGTGTACAGGTGGCAGTGCCGTAGTTCATGTAGGTATTGGTGATCCCGTCTGCAGCAAGGCTGGCAACCCCGGGTCCGTGCGTCCCGTTAAGGGTGCTAGTCTGGAACGCCGTCTTCCCCAGAGCCGCATTCAAATCTATTCCAGACGATAGATATCGTCAATAGACGTATCTCCATCGAAGAGTTCTATGGTTAAACGCATCTGATGCAATTTCAGTGCTGCAAAAGTGGAATATGCTAAATAAGGCAATCTGCATGAATCACATAAAACTGATGCGAATATAGGACAGTATACATTTGCATCAGTTTTTCATACTTTGGGCATTTAAAACAGGGCAGAAGAAAGATCTAAGATGAGTCTTTTTTTTCTAGATATTACCCCATAAATTTGCCAAAGTTCCTACCAGTAACCGTTTTTCGTCACAATTTCGTCATTTTTGCTCAATGGATGTTAATATTGGGATAGTGTTGTTTAAGCGTAGTATGTAGATGAATGGCTACAATATTGGCTTTCTAAAATCTGGTTTTCAAGCCAAAAAAAAAAAAAACTGCACGGGGCACCTTTACGCAGAGCCATGAGCCGTTCACCACATAACTATTTTGCAGTCCTTCTGCTGCCTTACTCGGGGCAATATTGGCTGATTCTACTCCCCACCAAAAGGTGTCGCTTGTATGTAAACACCTCACGGTTGTGTGTAAAGGACGATCGAATTACCAGCCTGATCAACCGAATTCACGGATAACTGAATGCTCCACTAAACTAAATATTCTATAGCTGGGCCGTCTCTTTTTTCTAATGTCTGCTGCGTAAATTCGGGAAGTAAACAGCCAGGGCGGGAGATCCTAACAGCCTTCGTATATTGCGCACACCTCTTGGGTAAATCATTTTTGTCAGTGTTTGCTGGTGAAAGCAACAACAAAGTATGTTGGAATGAGAGTACATACTAGATAATTTATCGATGGCGCAGCACCAATACATACTTACATCGCGTGTTCTCGTTTAACTCTAGAACCACACCGCCCTGTTTTTCTCAGACCATCACAGACTAATTAGCTGACGTCACAGTTGGGTTGGGCAGCACTAGGCCAAAATGATCCAAAATTTGAGCACCATTGAAGTACCAACTAACAGGCTTCAAAATCATTCTTTCCGTACAAATTTTGACCCAAGAAGAAACAGGCAGAGTTAACGCTTTAACAGTTTAGCAAAAATTAGTCAAGTACACCGTTTTTTGTTTGCACAAGGACAAACCTGAGTGGTATGGTCTGGTTCTCAGTGCGGATGGATGTAAGCAGTTACTGGAGTAAAATTTAGGCTTTGTTTAAAGCTCCCAGTTGTTCAATTTAAAAGTGGACAAGCCCTTTTTCTTTGGTCATCAACCAGAAAGGGCTGGCATGAAGCACAAACAGACGTTGTCTCAGTTGTCATATAAACATTTATTGTAATCCATGCGCCAGATCCGTTTTACCAAGTATGAAACTTGCAAACTATCATCGCAAAAAATACCTTGTTTCGAGTATACATGGTTCACATTTTTTCAAGTTCTACAAAAAATAAGCGTAAACTGAGTGAAGATATCACTATATTGTGTGTTAATGCTTATGGAGTAAACTGTCATGAATGACTAGCTAGTTACTCACCCGATGTTGCCAGAGCACCTGACAGACAGCAGCACAAACCCCAGAGCAGCGCCAGTGATGCTCCAGTGGTCGACAGGTTCCCCATTCTACCGCAAGACGACTAACTTGTGATGTACCAGTTCTTTTTAGTAACCTGTTGAAAGTTACGATCTTGACGTACGAACCATGTACGGACAGATTCTACCAGCAACTAGTATTAAAAAGTGGTGCGTGTGGTATTTCACTTGTAGCACGAACTCCTACGTCACAGGATAACCATGGTAACCACTTCCAAATAAGGTAACCCCTCAGGTAAAAGTTGCGTGAGTGAGAGAATTCATTGAATATTCATTTAATCAACATCCTCCATCTGGTATTTCGTGGAGTACTGTTCTGTGAATTATTCAATGACGGGCTCTGTGCCTGTCTGTACCTACATTTATGTCATACCTGGGCCGCGATTACGTTCGATACGGGTGTTCTGGCCCGTGTGATAACTAGCGGTACGGCCCGGGGGTTCTTAACGCGTACGGCCCGTGCCTTCCAAATGTTTCATAGAACGATTCGAACGCGTTTTGCCCTAACCGCTTGCACCGCTTTCGAAAATTCGAATACAAAATTCGGACGTTGGAATTGATGTTGTTGCATTTGTTGGGTTTAGGGACACCAAATTTTTGCTCATTTCGCATTAAAAGGCGTCTTTTCTTGGGTTGGTATGACATAAATAAAATACAACACGGTGTACTCCGCATCGCGGTTGGGCCGATACCTCGGGCGATACGGAATACCCCGTGTTGTATTGTGTATGTATATGCCAAACGGTAGAGATGTTTTTGTGTTTCGAACAAGTTATCAAAAGGCAAACATTGGTCGCAGAAATTCACAATACCATCTTTGTATTCCTGTGGTTTAACTGCATTTTTATTTTCGGTCGGAATTTTTTTATTTTATTTATTTTATTCACATTTATTTTCCGAGGATGAGGCAAAAAGTTATAAAACTTATCTCAGCCCTCTCCTCACACATAAAAGGATACAATAAAACAAAGTAATAATAATAATAATAAGAAATGACAAGGGTACATAGTAGGCTGGTGTACAAATCAAAATGAATCAACTAAATCAAACAAAACGTCCTGTCTGCGGAATTTTTTTTATTCGCCCGCGTGCACTAGCGCTATAAAAAGTTTCCGTGATAGGCGGAAGGAAGCTGTGGAGAAAATGGGGAGGGGTACTAAAATAGTAAGTTACTTGTATAAAGTTTAATGATAGGGACTATGATGGGGTGACTAGTAAGTATATTCTCTTCTGTTCTGTTCTGTTCTATTTTCTTTTCTTTTCTTTTCTATTTTATTCTATTCTATTCTATTCTATTCTATTCTATTCTATTCTATTCTATTCTATTCTATTCTATTCAACTATTCTGTTCTGTTCTAGTTGATTTCTATTCTATTTTACTTATGTACCACGGTGTATACATTTTGTAACGTTTATAATACAGAAAAAAGGCTCATCTGGACTCTTATTTTTAATGTGTTGTTTACTGTACGCGCTGGCATTCCGGGACGGGTACAGATAGTCACAGAGCTCCTGTCATTGAATAATTCACAAAGGAACACGTCAGAAAATACCAGACGGAGGACACTAATGAAATGAATATTCGATTACTTCTCTCACTCACGCAACTTTTACCTGAGGGGTTACCTTATTTGGTAGTGGTCACCATGGTTACCCTGTGACGTAGGAGTTTGTGTCGCACATGAAATACCACACGCACCACTTTTTAATACTAGTTGCTAGTAAAGCTTTGTGAAGTGCTGGAATACACGTACCCTGATCGATCTTATAACGTTGCGGTTCTAAGAATACCATCAATCTTAACGTTGCCGTTTGGACGTCAAGCGGACACTAACGTTGCCGTTCCAACATACGAACGGCTTAACGGCTTTCCTTCATACATATTTCGTTTCGTTTCATTTCTTTCATTTCGTTCCATTTCGTTCCATTTCCCTCCATTTCGTTCCATTTCACTCCATTTCGTTCCATTTCGCTCCATTTCGTTCCATTTCGCTCCATTTCACTCCATTTCGTTCCATTTCGCTCCATTTCGTTCCATTTCGCTCCATTTCGTTCCATTTCGCTCCATTTCGTTCCATTTCGCACTTTCTGGGGTCCCCTTCTATGGACTTCGGAAATCTATGGCATTTTTTTTTTCTTTTCCTCTAGTGTATGTGAATCTAAAGTGATCTCCAAGCAGATCCTATGGTAAGCAAGGCATTATCCAGTTCTCCAACCAATGACCATTAGCCACTATAGCTAATTGGATACTGCCTTGCTACTGTAGAATCTTATTGGAAATTAAAAGAAAACCTAGCAAGGCATAATACAAATCACAACTTTGCCTTCTTCATGTCTAGCTTCAGCTATTTATCTCATTTTTCTTTAAATTCAAAAAGCAATTTCAGTCGAAACCGGTGACAAATACTATCACACGTGATAACGGTTGTATCATCAAGCATATCGCATTAATTCGCTACAGAAAGATATGAATCCTTCTCTAGTAAATTAATGAGATAGAGGATCGCTATCTTATGGTCTGTTAGAGAGTACACCCGGATCGCTATCTCATTAATTCACTAGAAGGAGACCTTTGTTCTCTATCTAGTGCATTAATGAGATAGCGACCCTCTATCTCATTAATTTACTAGAAGAAGAAGACATTTTTGTTTTCAGTCTAGTAAATTAATGAGATGGAGACCCTCTATCTCATTAATTTACTAGAAGTAGAAGCTCATTGTAGTAAAAAAATTAAATCCTTTATTTTAATGACGTACATGTATGACCACAAAACTGATACATAAAACCGGCAGACAATAAACAGTAGAAATAATAAGAACTTAATGAGAACCCCCCAGGAAAATAAATTAAAACAATGGCCAAAGGAAAACTTAGATCGCTATGACATGTAAGTTATACCGATTTACCAAAAAATTAAATACTTGCACAAAAGGATTATCACAAGTTTTTCCAGTTATTAGGGGTTTCGAATTGAAATTCCTTTCTCAACTGAATAAATGTGATGAATAATCAAGTCTGAATTTATGAATCGACCCACGCAAATTGGAGCTTCTATGGCCCTGGATCTTCTCTAGTATACTATCCCTTTATTTCGGACAATTTCTACTATTTTTCCAGCGATCCGCGGAGCCTGGTAGAGGCTACGTATGTACTAAGATCTTGAGTCGTGAAGCTTCGGTAGCCTGGGTGCCATCCTCCAGAGTTACCACCGGCTTTGTATTGTCGCTAACTGCAATGGACTACCTAGGCCTAGAGCCTGGAGGACGTGATCTTTTTTTTCTTTTTCTTTGAGAACAGGTGAAAATCAATGCGCGCGCGGATATCATCCATAAAATTAAGGCGGTATGGCCATAGAAATGATAGCACTATAATCATAAAAAAACTGTATTTTGCAGTGGTTTCTCCCGGTATAGACTGGATCTACGGAGACACGTTCGGAATTGAACACGGTACCATTATCCTCAGGATCACGTGGGGTTGGAGCCTCGGGTTCGGGTTTGACTATGAGCATGCGCAAAGATGGGTGCGACTGCCTGCGGACGAGCAGGTGAAACCCGTCAGGTAGTTTTTTTAGAATATTTATTATTAGAAATTATTATCATAGAAGTTATATATTATTTGCACCCACGCAGAAGGAAAATATGTTGTTTTCCCTCCGTTCGTTTTCTTTTCAAGCAAACAGGGTCAATGACCTGGGACAACGACTGTAAACATGGTGCTGTAGCCGATATCTTACTGTGTTGGATTACATTATGTAGCAAGTAGCAGGACAGAGTTAGAGGGGTTTGTCACCGCATGCATGTGTTTCAGTTAGAAGACGCAGGACTGTAGTTGGCTATGCTAGATCATTACCATTTGAAGGTTAACATTACGAATTTCGTTTAAAAATGTTAGCTTTGAGGTTGAAATAGAACTTCTTATTTTTTAAATTCCACCCCTTTCATAGGTCACCGATGCTGCTTGGAGGACTTTTCGCCATAGATCGCAAGTTCTTCAACGACATTGGAATGTATGACCCGGGTTTGGAATATTGGGGAGGAGAACACTTCGAAATTTCGTTCAAGGTAAAGCATAAGGTTGCTTTTTGTGAGTAGAGCTTGCGTATACTTATTATCAAAGAAGTGTTGATCAACTAATTCAACTAATTTCCCTCTACTTGACCTGTTGCTTTATTATGACAAAAATGGATAAACGTTCTTGCCAACACTGAGTAAATTGGGACTTACCCAAATGTTTGGCTAACTCCGGGACGTGGCTACTTTTTAGAATACTAGTACTTCTTCTCCAAGCCGCCAACATAAATCTAGGCACACCTTCATGTGTGAAGGTAGTTCAAGGTTTAAAAAAAGTTAAATGGCAGGGCATGGCACGAATTTTGTGTGCTTTTTGTACATAGAAACACGCAAACTGGACGTATCATGATAAGAGAGCAAAAAGCAAATATAAAGTCATGATATGACGGTTAATTTTGCATTCCACGATATAGACATCAGTAGTGCATGATGGGATTGCTGGGTGCTCCTGTGAAAGATTTCTAGTAGCAAGACCAAAGTTTTGAGACCATATGCTGTCAAAATGGGAGCAGTATGGAGGGCTGAAACTACCATTTTCCTTGCCAGCATACATTTCAGCAACTTCACTCCTGTCATCATGTGGTTCCCAGGTCTGGATGTGCGGTGGAACAATAGAAACTCTCCCCTGTTCTCGCGTGGGTCACGTGTGGGGTTCCAGGAAGACCTACAGTACAGGGAACAAGACTCTCCAGTACTGGACCGACAGGAACAACATGCGGGTAGCTGAGGTCTGGATGGACAATTACAAAGTTCACTTCTACAGAAAACATCCTCATCTAATGAAGGTAAAGGCTTTCAATGTTTAAGCTAGTCTAATGACAGTGCATAACGAATACCTCTGTTAACAGAATGATTTTATTTTTTGGAACAATATTGGTTGAGCCCTGTATCTGTATGTATTTTTGTATAGCCCTTTTAACCACCCTTCGCTGCTTTGCAGGCATGCATCTCGGTGGCTACATTGAACCGAACGACTTGTTACACCTAACCCTTGAAAATTTTACTCTAAACATTCTTTAAAGCTATCAAATGATAATGCCCCTACTGTACTTGGTGACAACGATAGTTCTAGGAAAAAATGAATTTTTGAACACCTCAATCCTCGGTTGATAAATTTGGTACTTGAAGACATCTTTTTCTCGTTCTGGGCTGGTAGTAGGTACACGTAGTAGTTGGTACGTCCACCAGTTTATTAGTCATTTTGTACATTATGCATAGTCTGGACATTTTCCGTCTGCCTTCCAGTGTAGGTCTTTTCATGGTCACACATAGCCGAAGGCGGCCTTCCGAAACACTGGCCGAACAACCGTCAATCATGGTTAGTCGAAGGTAGATAGCTAGGTCGGCTGTGGTTAGCTAGTGTTCGCCAAAGACGGTTTATAATAATATTTCAAAATGTTTAACGCATTTGGGTGTGGACGGGAGGTTCGGCCTTGGTTGTCTGGTGTTAAGGAGCATGTCAGCAACATTTGGGCCGGGCGTGTTTGAGAGGGGCCAAATTTGACTCAAATTCGAATTCATTCGTACAAAAAGGTAGATGTGGCATATATAAATTTGGTCAGTCTGCTCCCTAACTTAATAAACCGACCTTGGTTGGCTGGTGTTTTGGGGGGAGGGGCGTAGGCTAAAGATATTTCACGCTGGTTGAGTATAGAGATAGCCAAGTTGTTCTCTTCTTAAAAAAATAATATGTTTTATGTCGATTGTTGATGTTTGAACAGAGAACGTTTGGAGACATTTCTGAGCGCCGGCGGTTACGAGAGCGTCTGCAGTGTAAGGACTTCCGCTGGTACCTGGATAATGCCTACCCTGAGCTGTACGTACCAGACGATATACCTGGACGGTATGGGCAGGTATGTATTATGGCCACAACAAATACATTTTTGGATGACATCCTCCGCAGACTCCAAATCTAATGCGAAAAAAAACAATGCGGGCCTAAAAAACAAGGTTCCTGCATTTTAAAATTTTGACATCATAATCCTTGTTGAACAAGGAATGATACCTAAACTTTGCCATGTTCATTTTGCATCCATCAATTGTCACTGAAAACTATAAGTTTCAATCATTGTACAAATGGTTTTGATTCAGTGAACATGACATATAAAAGGATCGAAATGCAGCACTGCACACAAGTAAAAGACTAAGCAATACATATTCATCCACGTTCAGGCAAGGCAAGAAACAACTTTGTCCATTTTCGGCACGTTGACTACTTTTAGAAGGCAACAAAATTTTTATATTTTCCCCCAAAATCAGGCGAAAATTAATGCGCGCATTGATGTCATCCATAGAAATTATTTGTTGTGGCCTATGACAGGATGACAAGTGTCAAACAGGAATAAATGGACGTCCTTGAAAGTTTTACATGGTACAATGCATGACAATAATAACAATCAATACAATGATACCATTCTATTCTATAATGATTTCGGTCTATTCTAAAAACTGTGATTACATGTTGTTGTGTGACGTTAAAATAAGTCCAAAAACTTGATTGCAGCTAGAGCCACACGGTCCTTAATATTGTATTGTTATGTTTTGATGAATACGAAAGAACTATGACTACAGAATTATAAACGTAGATGGCGTCTTGACATAACGTACGTTTTAAACTTTTTACAATACATTTTCTCTTTTTGTCAAGCGCTACATCCATATTTAAAGACAGAAACTAGCATTCGAACTTGTGTATCTAGGTACTTTTTTATAATCCTTAGGTTCGGAATAACAGAACCAACACATGCCTGGACTGGGCATCTAGACAGGACGGAGAGTTGAAGTTGTTTCCCTGTCACCATCAGCTAGGGAACCAGGTTAGCGCTGCTGTGGGCTTCTTCTTAAATATAATCTTTTTACTGAGGCGGTGACACGTGATTATGTTTCGTAAACGGTAGTTGCCATTTTAAACAACCTTCGCAAAAGAAAAACATATTTTTTGCTATGTTTTAGTTTTCTCTGTGCTGTGTTGGATTACATTATGACGCAAGTTGCAAGGCCGGTCACCATATATATGAATGTGTGAGTAATGAGTAAGAATTAACAGAGAAGTAACTATAGGCTATCTCATGTGACGGTAGCCATTATGTATTTGCTTTCCTCATGTTACATGTACCTTTATCTTCTTTTATTGTCCCAAGTTTTTCGAGCTAAACAAACAGAACCAACTACGAGATGAGATGTCCTGTGTACAAGCAGGAGAGAACCGGAATGGCGTCATATCTGTGCCGTGTAGGAGATTAGATGCTGCCCCGCCTCCTCTTCAGCAATGGGTGCTCACAGATGTAAGGACCGGGATCTTAACATGTACAAGGCTATATGATTATGATGTCCCTATTGGTATTAGGTGTATATAATGTAGCAGAACACTGTATATAGCCAATGTTATATAGAAATTTACATGGTTATTAAGGAACCGAAAGTGAGCTCTTTCGACGCTTTTAAAGTTACAGTAGGGTACATAGGCAAGCTAGAAAAATTGGATGTTTTGGGGTTCAGGGTACAATGTGTGAATATGTAAAAATAATTTTTGTGTTGGCTCATTTCTTTGTATACGCCTATTTCTTTGTATATATATGCCTCTTTTATATGCCGCTATGCGGATATCATGTGAATTGCAGCCAATAATAAAATAGTGTATCTTAGTGTATCTGATATCTTATTAGGTCAAAAGGTTATCAAACACCGAACCTTGGAGAAATACATCGAGCAAAAAAATCTTCGTTTGTTTTGGGGACTACATTTTCAGAATTAAAATTGCTTTTTTAAATGACTCAAGATAAAGAGGCAAACGGAAATTAACAGTTATATGTAATGTTTCTATTTTCATAACTTATTAATCAGCAAGTTTTATTCTTCTATGCTTAAATGCGCAGAAAGAAAACGTATTGGTCTTGGTCTGTCTCTTCTTCTTTCTTTCCAAACACATAACTTAAAGGTCAATGGTCTTGACCAGGCGCATGTTACAATATTAACTGGTGAAGTAACAGAACACCCTGCGTTGTTGGGTAAAATTAGCAAGTTACAAGACATAGTTGGATAGGCTGGTGTTTGAGTAAGAATAAATAGAGCAGACGTTTGTTAGGCCTAAAACATAATCCAAATCTAAAGGGGAAAATCCAAGTTATTCCCCTTTTTCTGTCTTGAATTTTGACATCTTAAGATAACAAAATCTTAAAGGTGAAGTTTCCAGACTGTAATAGCAAAAATCAAAGACAGCATGACGTTCAGAAAGACAATAGCCTAGCGCATGTAAATATAAATATGATGCATTTGATTTTTAAATGCTGAATTTCTAGTTTTTCACACTTTTCTACAGCGAGGTTTCTTGTACAACGCCGCCACAAACAAGTGCCTACACGCCATTCCACCCGACTCGGAAACAGCTGGGAAAGTGACTACGATGCGATGCAACCTTAGCAGCCACCAGAAATGGACGATAGAATATATCTGGAACAAAGTGTAGTGTTTCGTGTACATGAGCTCTCTAGATAGATAGATAGATAGATTATTTATTATATAGTTATGCATAATGTAAAGTGACACAGAGATATATAGAAACATATATAGATAGATATAGACAGAGTCAAAGAAATATGCTTTTAAAAGAGCATAATGTAAAGTTTTTTTTAACGTCATGCTCCACAGATTCTGCTACACAATAGTATTTGCCCAAAGCTTATCACCTAGCGACGGTTGATTTTAGAGTTAGATGGCTTTATACAGTGTTTACTATTAAGATGTATTTTGTGGCTGTTGTTGCATGTTCTGGGGAGAGACAACTATCGATAATTATCATGTTTTCCATTTTGAGAAATGTCATATCCGTCATCAACAACATAAAACTGGCATTTCTACCCGGTATACCAATGGTGACGTACGTGTAAGGCCTGTAAGGCAAAACCAGTTTTTTTAGACAAAAAATATATTTGTTCAGCTGAAAATTAATAATCAAAACTTGCTACTCAAAGCAAATGACAGATTGCATGGTATACAACATATTATTAATTTAGAAGATGAAGTCACAGCGTGTTGCGAGCAGTTGTAAGGGATCAAAATAAAACGAATGGCTTTTATTGTCACATGTCGCTGCTTGATATCCCTCTTTGAAGTAATATCTAAAAAGCGATAGTTGTAGTAATGTTGAGATTACGTTGTGTGCAGGTCTTATTTTTTGTGTGCGTATAAGACCAGCCATAATTTTTAGACAATGTGCTGAAATTGTAGGATTAATAATGATTAAAAGCATTACTAGTATTCCAAATCACAGTGTGTTAAAATCATTAAAGCTCATAAAAACGTGACAAAACATAAGCTTTGAGTATTCAAACACATTCAAGCTTCAATTCATATTAACACGTGGGTTGAAGGAACACTGCTTCTTTCATAGTTTTGAAAATTCGCGGAAATATATAAATCATTCATGACAAATGACCTTATTAGTCGAAGTATGTCCTCGATTCCAGACACCTGCTTTAAACTGTCGCCTCTGCTGTTTCAGCCTACAGTGAAGGTCCGATGCCCATGAAAAACGTGGATGGCACCGTATAGCATGTGGCCTGTTTGAGTCTTTTGCTGTAGAGTCAACAAGTTACTCTGGTTCAACAAGTTACATGTACTTTCGGGTCGTTTTAAACGCCATTTTTAATGTACAGTTTGTTACACATTCTGCTGCGTTCTTTGATCACAAGCCCCATTGTTCTGCGACCTTCATTATTGGAGAAAGGATCAAGCAAAACAATCTGCAGAGAAAGACCCCACTGGGAAAGACTTTACTGAATTACAAGCAGGCATCACCTTCATGCCAATATGGACAAGGGTAGGTAACAGTTAACAGCTATATTATTATATGTACAATAAAGGTCTTCATTCATTTATTTATCTATTGGAAACTTATGCCAGAGGGCTTTTTGCAAACTGACAAGGACAATGATTACAGCATGCATTAAAGAATGGTATAAACATGCTAACATTAAGTTCTACTAATACTTCTATTTATTTTTCTATCTCTACGTAAAACTAATAACTAATATGCCATGTATAAACAGGTAAGAGAAATATGGCCATTCCAATTCTAGTAAAGCTATTGAGGAGTTTTTTTACAAATCAACTGGATGTTACATACTCAACTGAATGCCACATGCAGTTTTTGGAATTTTCACAGACCCTGCACACAAAACATTCTCTATCATTAAAACAACGTTACTTAAAAATCAAATTTGAAGCTCATGACATTAAACATTGTATTACAAGCTGTATATAAAACGCAGACAGTAACTTTAAAGATCGTGAAACTCTTCACCGTGCTTTTTTCTGCTGAATGTAGGGTGGGTCTGTTTACTTACTCATAAGTTTCAAGTGTGTTAAGACCCGATGCATACAAAATCATACAGAAGGTTGTCTATATTATTCGAGATACCTTGGTACGTAGTGTGGATGTGTCTCTTCATTAAGACCCTAGCATGTTCAGATCGCGAGATATCATAACTGGAAGTTGTGCTGCAGTACCAAGGGAAGCCACTAGGGGGCCCAAAATCCCATCATTTCCAGTTTTTGTGACATCCTATCAACGAACCAAGTATGAAACTAATCCGTCCAGCCGTTCTTGAGTTATCTTGTTGACAGACGGACGGACAGACGGACAAACGCAACTGAAAATATAACCTCCATGACATGTCGTGATAGTAATAAATGTGTCCGTACTGCTTAGGTGCATGAAATAAGGAAATATGAATTGTATCAGACTATAAAGTTTTGCTTTCTCTTATTGTATAATTTACATCACATTACAAAGTGTTGCTCATCTTAAATTCTTTCTAGATCACAGTATTAATATATTCTTTGTTCCAGGGGCAATGTCAATTGGCCTTACTAGATTAATCTTCGAAGCATTGGTTAAAATAATTGCCTCGATGAAACATTATGAACTTTAAAATATTGCCGTATTTCATAAATCATATTTCACAACAGAGACCTACAACGTCTATGAAGATCCGGACAACAATGTTCACCAGTATGCCAACAAAGATGACATTGACGAGGAGCTACGACAGACTAGTACTCAAAAGAAAGAGCCAACCAATATCGGGAAAAACAACACACGCAACTTGCAATTTAACTTGATCGACAATGAGATGTACGTGCATAGTCGCTCACGACAGGACAAAAACCAAGGTAACGTTTGTTTTTATATTTGGCAATACTGCATTGCAATGTTTTCGGGTTGGTTTGTTATTCTAACATCTGGGGCAGTTAATGGTGGACAAAGTTGCATGGCGAGACAGGGCGATAATAGTGAAGATTGTGCGATTGTGTGTGTGTGTATGTGAGTGTGTGTGTATTTATGTGTGTGTATGTGTGCGTGCGTGCGTGTAAACAGTCGTCAGTAGACTTAAATGACATTCCTTTTTTATGAATCAAGAGACTTTTTTTCAGTATAGAGAAAAGAAGGGGCAAGGCAACTAACATTAGATGATAGGTAGTATGTAGTATTGTTGTAATGTATAGATTGCTATTAATTAGTAATTAGCATTAGAATATAGCGTTCCAGTATGCAATACTCATGTTTTGCATACTACATATCATCTTGTGCATGTAGCCCATCCGGGCAAGAACATGCAATAAAGATTCATATTATTATATATTGTATTCTCATCATCTCCATATGGTAGGATCTAATTTTTTTAGACTTACATGTACATTACTTAAAAATGTAACATTAGTGAATTGAAATGGGCCTAGATTAATATTTAGATCATGAATATGTGACCCGCAGGTTGAACAATTATTTACAGAAGTAGTGTTAGTCTTGTTTTCATCTACTCTTTATACAGTAGAACCAAGTCTAGTAAGTCAAGTCTTTATAGAACCTCATATAAATTAAAAATGACAAAACAAACAATGGATTCAGAGACTTATTTTAACCAAAATTTTCAAGAGTTTCACACCATAAAAAATCAATGAAACTAATTTCACACCTTGTAAACGTAAACAGCAGTAATTGGTCTGGAGAACAAAGAATCACGTTATGGTGAAAACCGCCTGAAATAAAAGGAGATGAAAGGATTGTTTGAAACCAATCAACCAAATCATCCCACTAATTTTTTGCAATTTTGCTTTGTTCACAAAGAAAAAATGCATTTTTTTACTCTTTTTATTTAAAACATCATTCCACAACTAAGTACTTTCTCAATCAGTTCAATCCATACAATAGGTACGGAAGAAATCTTATTTTATATTTAATTTGAGACCATAGGTATAGATAAGTCGTAATATAACATATTTATCTGAGTCTTTTGTTTTCGTCAATAGATCCAGGTATTATGTTTGCTTTAGCTTTCTGCTGCCATTTGAATAGGCCAGACTCTGCCACATTGCTTGGTCTCTGTCTCCACTGGTCTCTGAGTAGAGACATATACCAACATGAATTGATTATAAATTTTTGCTTTTACCCCTTTAAAATGTATAATTTGAATTTTTAAGATGTTTTCTAGTCTAATCCACAGAAATGAAGGGTGTAAGGGAGTAGAGTGAAATGCAGAGCAAGAGACAATGTTTAATTGTTATTTGGAGCTATTGTCAGCAGTAATCAGGGGAGAATACATTTTCTGCTTACAGATCGCACCAAGGCTGCAGATGTTTCCAACGTCACATCTCGCCGTACTTATAGGCCAGGCCCATGGACCACTGCTGTAATGATTGCATTCGTCATTGGTGTAGGAGTTGGTCTCGTCACCTATTACACGACGGTACAAGAGACACACCATTTCTCACACAACAGTCCTCCGGTACGGCGGGGTACATCAAGCCGACCAGTGTCGGCAGTTCCCGTCACCTCTAACGGTTCGACAATGAAAAACAAAAATGACACCATCTCGGTTAGTGTTTGCATTCAATGTGCAGCTCAGGCTACTACAGGTGTATTTTGTATTTTAGAGAAAGCCTTTACATTTCCTAAACTCGCAAAGCCTCCCCAATTTTTATATAATTGTACCAAACCACACATACATTCTTCTTATTATGTTCTATTCTATATGGCTATTAAACATTTCCGTACGTAAGGCAGCTGATGGCGTGGAGACGACTGATGTGTCATTAACGGATGCCCTGTAAATAAGCATGTTTAAAAAAACATTCACGCCAGCAACTACTGCTTAAGTTCAAAAAGGTCTTTAAATGCCCAAACCTGTAACGAATTTTGTATGTATAGCATTATGATATTGGAAATGTTGTAATCTCCAAGCAGATCTTTTGGTTGGGGTAAGACAGTATCAAATTGGCCAGTCTGTATCCAGTTCCCCACCCAAGATCTGCCTGCACTCGAACAGGGAGGAGCGCTTCTTTTCAAAAATGGTGTTGCTGCCTCTCCCTGTGCCCCTATTAACAGCTATCAAAAATTTGTTGTGCTCAGATTTTTACAAGCGGTTTATGGCTTGAATCTGGGACAAATGCAGTCACCCGCGCACATCTCAGTGGGAGTTCTCGCCTAACTCTGTCCAGATAATACTGTATACTGGTACTAAAGTATGCTGGCTGAAACATAGAAATGTCAATAACTGGGCTCATTGTGGTTCAAAACCGCAGATATCACAAAACATATGTTGGACCTTCTTTTCCTTTAGTTAAACTGAACAAAATAACAGTTGGTGAGACTTCCTGTAATGCTCAAACAGCTGGCCCACTAGGAGTGCAAGAGCCTTGCCTGGTGGTCAAGGCAATAAACTACTTGGCAAGAATATTTTGATCAGGCAACAACTAGGTGTTAATAGCCTTTGACGTTTCGACTGCAGGCAGATCTTGGGTGGGGAAATGGATACAGACTGGCCAATTTGATACTGTCTTACCCCCACCAAAAGATCTGCTTGGATGTTGGTCTCTTACATTTCGTACATTTTGTTTTTGCAAACTCAGCACTTACACGGGCTACCAGTGGCTGCTCAGACCACCAGCCATGATCTTACAACTACACTGCCCAATATGACAACCCAAGTGCCCAAGGTGGCAACTACACTGCCCATGGTAACAACCACTCACCCCGAGGTTACCATTACACTACCCGAGGTAACAACTACACCTCTCAAAGTGACAACTACACTGCCCGAGGTGACAACCACACATATTACGGCGACAACCACGCTGCTGGAGGTGACAACAACACTGCCGGAAGTGACAACCACGCTGCCCGGGGTAACAACCACGCTGCCCGAGGTGACAACCACGCTGCCCAAGGTAACAACCACACTGCCCGAGGTGACAACCCCATTGCGCGAGGAAACAACCATACTTCCCGAGGTTACAACTACACTGCCCGAGGTGACAACTACCCCATTTGAGGTACGTTACACCAGTAAAGGTGATACCCACACTGCCAAATTTGACAGCTACTTTACCAAAATTGCCAGATAATTCAATATAGATGGCGGTGTGACTGCTAGCCAAGTCTTTGACCAAACACAAATGGAACGTTTTTAGATACAATTAATAACATTTCAACATTAATGACAGCCTCCTTGATATAGAAGAATTTATCTAGTTCGAAAAATTGTTATTATCGATTGTAAAAGTTGATTGCTTTGAAATATGGATGTCAACAGAACACGCATGGATTTTTTACCGTTTCTTTGCACAAGGAAATATTGGCATAAGTACCACTCCGCCATGTATTATGTGTAATCCTAGAAATTAGTTATTGTAATTCATAACATGACATTATATTTATATGTAATAATGACCATTTATTATTTTTGCCATTTTTCCACATAATGTCGAACGGATCGGATTTTGACCAGGTGCAGAAGACTACACAGTCCCATCGTTTGACGATTGAAGAAGGTACGGCAGTACGAATTAGTTTACCTGCATTAGCCGTGATCTCTAACACACACGCCAACCCTACATACAATGTAGCTATCACTGGATGTGTAGGGTTGGCGGTCTGAAGGTGCTTGCGTTTCCCATAGACCTAGTGAACTGTGTTTTATAATTATATAACACTACATAAGACAGAAAACACCAAAGTGTTGAGAGAAAATGGACTTTTTACAGTTGACTACAGTTTCTAGCCATTTACTGATACAATGATATAATTTCCCATCATAATTTTCTTGGCGGAACTGTAGCCCTTAGGTCTAAGGGCGTCAGTCGGATCGTGAATAAAAACTCCGGTCTAAGACCCTAAGTATAATTATACACTCCTAACTTATGCCAGTCCTCTTGCCTGAGGCAGGTGTCAATGTCGCCCTGGGAAAGACAGCGGTCCAATCAAGCATATGCTCCAGCACACACGGTTGTCATGGGAACATCCCGGTTGATGCCAGTCGTGCTGTAGACGGCAACACTGCATCAGACTACCACGACGGGTCCTGCACACACACTACAGAAGAGGATAATCCAAGCTGGTGGGTGGATCTTGGTCAGCCGTATGCGATTGGCAGGTACGTGTACAATATGAATAAGTTACACAAACACATAGTGCATTTACACACACAGACACACACACACACACACACACACACACACACATATACATAGTATTACATACACACACACACACACACACACACACATACATACATACACACACACACACACACATACACACACACACGCACACACACACATATACATACATACATACACACACACACACACGTACATACATACACATACACATATACACATAAAAAACACGCACAGAGACACGCGAACACAGACACATACACTAACACAATTTTCTTTAATCATGATTCGACAATTCACCTTAAAGATTGCTAGGCAAAGACTGAGGACCTAGTTAAACAAAGTTTAAGATCATTTATATGAATATAGCATAACATTCTCAAGTGCCATTCCTTTGACTTTGTGTGCAATATCTACAGAGTGACTATCTTCAATCGGATGGACTGTTGTCCGGAACGACTCAACCCCCTCAACATCCACATCGGGGATTCCGCCCAGGTCAGCGAGAACCCCAGGTGTGGTGGTGATCATCGACTCTACGTGAAATGGCCGTCCATATCAGTCTCATGTCAGGGGATGAAGGGGCGGTATGTGGGCGTCCGTCTTCCCGGTTACCGCCGGGTTCTGAGTCTGTGTGAAGTCCAAGTATTTTCGGGTAGGCCTTCACTACATTCAATTTAGTACCTGTATACGTTTTGGGGATGGGCAGCAAATTTTACAAATTTAACTGTTTTTGGAACTGAATTTTTTTTTCGACAATGACAGGAGAGCAGGAACGGGGATAGAGTCATAGAAAGAAATCAGAATGATTGTATAAACGACTACAGCAAATTCATGCATACTCCAGAACAAGGAGTTACCAGCTTCCTGATATGTTTGCTGTGTTTTTTTTTTTGTATTAGGCAAATGTCTATTTTTTTTATATCTAGTCTATAACTGAAATTACTCTTTGGCCTTAAATGTGTCGACAAACACAGGAAAGAACGTTTTGCTTCAAGAATTGTTTTAAATAGTGGGCTAATAGCTTCCTATCATCTTAATTTATGCCCTGCTAGTTGCATGGAACATGCGAAATGGCGGCTGCCAGGATGGCTACATACGAGTCGGGTGGGCATGCATCAAACTCGTTTCCAGCCGAAAGACTTTTTTGGATGCACAGCAGGCCTGTAAGGAGGAAGGTGCTACCCTAGCCATGCCTAAAACGGAAGAATTTGACCACGCTCTAAGACGCCATGTCAAAATGTCTGGAGGCAACTTTGAACATTGGATCGGGATGTTGGTGAAGTTTACTACACGGACTTCACAAAAATACGAATGGATAGGCGGGTTACCCGCAGGAAATTACCAGGTACGTGTTCTGTTGACAAGAGCAATTGTTACCTCCATGAAAAATGGAGGTATTGTTTTTGGCGCGTCTGTGTGTGTGTGTTTATGTGTGTGTGTGTGTGTGTGTGTGTGTGTGTGTGTGTGTGTGTGTGTGTGTTTCCGCACATTTTTAGTCAGCATAACTTCAGAACGCCTTTATGGATTGTGATGATATTTGGTATGCTAGTAGGTCTTAGTAAGCCAAAGGTCAAGTTTAAATATGGGCTTCCTGGTGGCTGACCTTGGTACTGCAGCAGAACTTCCGGTTTTGTAAGGCAGGGAAAACAGATGTGCCGGTTATGCAACAAAACCCCAGCTGTCAGCGCGCCGGTATGATTATTGAGGTTCTCCCTCTGGAATAGGCTGACCTACATATTTCAGGCCAAAGGTGCTACTGTATTAGCTGTGTATTTAAAAAATAAAAGCCTGTGTTATTTTGTTCCATACTGTAGTATACTGTGTAAAAAATTTACAAAAAATCATATATTTTATGGAGGTATGAGATCTCCGAATTCTTGTTGTACATTGTACATTCCATCTTCGTCGAGAAGGTAATGTCATACGTACATGTAAATTGTATTGGGGGTTCTCGACTTTAACTCGGGGTGCGTTGGGTATATCGTAATGATATTTGGTACGTATCTCGAGGTTCGGACAATAAAGATGAAGGTATACATCGCAGACAGTTTAAGGACACCTGAAGGTTACCGATTTCATTTCGTTTACATTACATCACAACTTATGTACATAATGTAACAGGGGTTATTCCCACTGGCTTCTCGTATCTAGCATAGGCTCCTTGGGCCTTTTAACAGGGTTGTGTTTTGGGGGGCTAGGTTTTACTCTCTAGCACTTCTGTGCAGGGGTGCCTTCCCCTTTTTTTCCTTCCCTGTTATTTACATCTTCTGATTCTTGAAATGCAACATACTCATCATCCAATTTAGATACAAAAATTCTAGTAGTAGTAAAACTGTCTTAATTTTTGAAAATTTATTGAAAACTAAAAAAACTAAAACTTTCTTGAAGACTTCCTTTAGTTCGGTAGATCCTGTAATCCGGACGTGTCTTACGATGAAGACTTAATCCTCTTCTTTAGGGATGGCACCCAGGTGAACCGTCTGGCAGAAGACCGCCATGGAGGTATCTCTGCGTTCAGTACTGGTACTCAGGACGGACCACTGACCCGATGTGGGACGACGCCTGTTGCCTAGACAGAAAGCGGTACATCTGCCAATCCTCCCTTTCCTAAGGCGTCAGCAAGTGAAGCTTATGAATGACATCTTCCGCAGACTCCAAATCTAAATGCGATAGAATGAAAAAAAAGGCGGGTTGAAAAACAAGATTCCTACTTTCTTTTTAATTTTAACATTATGAACTTTATCAAACAAGATCATGATGATGATACACATATTATGGTATGGTATGGTATGGTATTATGGTATTAAAGTAAGGTACAAAGAACATTGCCGACCTAGTGCCAACGGCTACTCCTCAGCTATTTTCCACCACCTACAACACAACCAGGGTCACTCTTTCAAACTCGAGTCCACGGATGTCTTAGACCGCGAAACACGCTGGTGGGAACGGGGTGTTAAAGAGGCAATATATGAAAGAATGTACAACCCCACCCTCAACAGGGAAGGGGGGCTACGGGTCGATCTTTCCGGCACTTGGGATTTGGCACTCCCAGCCCCGAGGACAGACAACACTTAAGCTCCTGTCCTGTATAACAGGAGCTTTCAGACTAATTTGCATCATCTTGTCTTGACTTGTCTGACTTTTGTTCCTTTTTCGACTTCCAAAAATTTGTCTTCACTTTATTTGCATATCAATCAACAGGTTGTGTATATAAACCTACTTTCCCCTCTGGTCTCTCAGTCACTGACGAAAGCTAGTGGATACTAGCTGAAACGTCTGACGTTTTCAAAATCATATCCAGTTGCTTGAGTAACTGTTTTTTGGCATAACATATTATGGTAATTGTATTTGTATTGTATTTGTCACTGAATCAACTTTATTTGAAAAAACAAGTTTTCAATCACTGTACAAATAGTTTTGATTCAGTGGGAACATAGTTCTATTCATATTGCAAAAATCTCACATTTGCGGCAACATTCTTTCAACCATCACGTGATCCACTAGATTACATTATAAAGATGACTTGTATATTCAAGTAAAAAATTAATTAAACACTAGTTTTGGAAAGTATAAGTCAGGATATGATTACACAAAATGTAATATAGGGCGCTTGCACCTTTTTTATTTGTCTTTATGATTATAACAATTTATTCGATTTGGAAATATATTTTGCTTTTACCTAAAGTTAAGTTTGTAACATGACTAACATTTATTGGTACTATTAGTGATAGCATCTCTTTATGCTGAGTTCACATTTCCAAACCAGGCCCCGGCCGGGCTGTTTCGATTACCGAAAAATGCAAAAAAAAATTATTATCATTTTTAAAAATGTCTTTGCGCTTTGTTGTCTTTTATACCATATTTTTTGTTTCATAAGACTGCCCGGTCGGGCCCCGGTTTGGAAATGTAACCTCAGCATGGCGACGACGAAAGGTATGGCGACGAAACTACATGGAATTTAAGAGCAACAGTTGCACTCACAATCTTTATTTGCATTTTCATGCCCATGTGACTAAATGCATACACTGGAGTATATTGTTCACTGTTACACTGATGTTACATGTATACAATATTGAGTAACATAATACATGGGATAGAAGGATAAAAGGATAAGAGAAGAATGTGAATGTCTTAGGGACTATTTGAGAATACATTCTATCTAATCTTGAATCTTTAATTTTTTAAAGCAATTGGAAATGAATTCAAATAGTTTTGTGTGATCATTACTGGTAGACATAAGGTGACTACATATCTCTTTCTTTGTTTTACCTTTACACAGTTTGTTCTAAATAGTATGTCACGTTCGACAGTATACAATTTACAATCAAGTACAAAATGTATTTCATCTTCTACGCTATTAAAGTTACAAGCCTTACATAGTCTATATTCTACGGGAGTCCGCTTATGTCTGCCGGCTTCTATGTGTAAGTTATGATCCCTTATTCGTAGTTTTGACATGACTCGGCGATGTTCGAAATTTGGAATACTAAGGTTTTTTTTATAACTATGTAACTTTGAACAATTTGTATGTTTTTAATTTGTTGCCTTGGTTATGTCCTTGGACGTTGGAGTATAATTCTGAGTAGAATTTATGTACGAAAATACCTTGTAGTCTTTTCTTAAAATCGAGTGAATAAGAAGATATGTTCAGATTGTTATTTGTGAATAGGAAGGCGTTACCAGCCTCCTCTAAAAAGTTTCATACATTAGACAACAAGCAGGGTACATGTTGTCGATCTAAGTCTTTCTGAACAATAAAATCTTCATATAATTGTAAACTATTTGAATCTACGTTGCTCACTTATCTACAATAATAATTATATAGTCTAGCCTGGGTACCATCCTGGTTAGGTTACGTCTGCTCCCACAGTCGCTCCACCAACTGGTTAGCGACTGTGGGAGCGGACGTTAACTAACCAGGATGGTACCCAGCCTATATACAGCCGAACTCAGCTCTGCTGGCAAGGTTACTGCCATTTCATGTTACACCCAGAATAGATTTACCAAATTTCAAGTGTACGAGTTCTATTGGGGAGCTGTTTTTCAGATTAGTGTTACATCAGATGTCCTCACAGTACAACAAAATTGGGGCAACTTAGAATCCAATAGTTCTCAGTATATAGGAATCGACGATTTAGTATCATTGAGGGTAATTCTGATACTAAACAGCGCTCTTAAGGCCTTCCTTGGCAATTATTTCATGGCGGGATTAATATCATATGGTATAATTATATATTATATTGTATGATGTACAATTATATGGACCCTTACCAACTATATACCGCCACCTTAAATGAAAAGATCTCCACAAATCACAACTTATCTACAAGAAGACGTGCATCCTTATAGTATCCTACAGAAAGTTGCTAAAAGCGTAACAAAACATACGCTTTAAGTATTCAAACACATTCAAGCTGCCGTTGATACCAACACGTTGGTTAAAGTAACACTGCTTCTTTCATAGTGATCGAAATTCGCGGAAATATATAAATCATTCATGACAAATGACCTTATTAGTCTATGTCCTCGATTCTGAGCACTGGCCCTAAAACTGTCGCCTCTGCTGTTTCACCCGTACAGCGAAGGTACAAAGCCCATATAAGACGCGGATTGCACATTATACATGTACCTTGGAGCCTGTTTGAATCATTT